CTGATCTGGCGGCTCAGTTCTAGTCACATTCCCACCGCCGTAAAGTTGCTTCTCTATACCTTTTCTATAAATACTTTGGTAGTAATTGTTCGAATGAGTTCTTTGGCATGAACCTAGACCTTTTGAATTTAAGTGCACTACTAGACTGACGTCGAAATCGCATCAATTTACAGTTGTGTTGGCTAGATGTGACCATAAGTTCTATGCTAACAGTTTCTTCTCTCGCGCTTCTCGCTTGTGAAACTCCCTTCCTGCTCCATGCTTTCCAACCTACTTTAATCAGCAAAAATTTAAATGCAATGTCAATCGCTAACTACTATCGACCTGATAACTCTCTTCTCTTTTTGCCCATCATTAATGTTTCTGTTCCTAATTCTTCCACGCCCTGTAACCCCTTGTATTTAAGTGGCATTAGTGACTTTCTTGGAGGTGATTCCGATTAAAAAAAAAAAAAAAGTAAGAAGACAGAATGAATGGTTGTCAACAAAAGGAACAGGACAAGACGCGAACTATGAATTGGAGACACCAAAATAAAGCCCGGGCAAAATATTTAAATATCTAGGAAGTGTTTTAACAGAGGACAAAAAAATACGACACCGAAGACGCATTGCGACACCGAAATATGCCTTCCAAAAGCTAAGCAAAGTATTAAGAAACAGGAAAATTTCGTTAAAAGCAGTACTGAAAAGTTACATAATATGAATCCTCCTATATGTCACCGAATGCTGGAAAATCTCATCACAGATTTTTATGATGTCAGTTCGTTGCCACTTTTGTGATGCCAACGAATACTCGTTGTCACTTTCGTAATGCTCGTTGTAGTAGAGACTTTGTAATGGCAGATACAACTATAGTAACGCCGTTGAACAATACTGGTGCCAGACGCCTTCGAATAGCACTCGCAGTAATTTCTCAATAATACTCGCTCGAATAGAAATCCGTGTAATGATCCGAATAGAGAAACAGTATAGTGAATAGAGTAGAAAATGGCGGTCCGTATAATAATAGAGGATAGAATAGAAATGGAGATTCGAATAGTAATAGAGGATAGAATAGAAGTACAGATCAATCAGACGCCAAGCTAATTCCTGTTTATGCGTTTCCTCTGTGGTCACGTGGTCTACTTAATTCAATAATGGGATCGCCTGTGTTTGCTCACTGGCGATCTATGTTCAAACTCGAGTGTCGGCAGCGACACATAATTTCTATATAACACAGATGAGGAAAAGTGTTGAAATAACAGAAATGTGGTTCTACAGAAGGATGCTGAGAATACCATGGATTGAACATGTGAGCAATGATGAAGCTTTAGAGAAAACGGAAACAAAAAAAAAACACTTGCTTGTACTTAGCATCAGAAAGTGACATTTGTAATTTCTAGGGTACATAATAAGGAAAGACGGCTTGGAAAGTTTGAAACTGACAGGACATAATGAAATCAAGGGGGGGGACACAGGAAAGCAGCGTATAACCAACCTCACAAACTTGATTAAATGATTGACACAACAGAGATTAGGAGAGATAGCTAAAAGACAAACTTTATTAAGAGTTACAAAGGATAGGAGATGATAGAGTTATGATTACACCCATTCTGAAGGGACATGACAAAAAAAAAAAAAAAGATAAAGAATGAATATTGCATTTTTATTATTAGATTTTATCTTTTTTTTTCAGTAATTGGAAAAATGTTTTATTTTTCTCGTTTGTACCATTCTGCATAATTAAGGATGCAAAGTAAAAAGAAAACAAATTCTGTTCAAGAAATAGTATATATTTGTAGGTTGGCCGATTTTACGAAATGTAAACTTCACTTGAAATATTTAATGTCAAAATCAGTCTTTTATTACTTTTATTAATTGTAGCAATCGTATTATATTTGAGTCTATAGACATTTACTTGGTTCGAGGATGGGTAAACATTGGTCGTTTATATTTCAGTAAGCCTTACTTGGTTCCGGGATATTTATATATTGATTGTTTATTTTTGATTCCGTAAACATTTATATGGTTCGGGGATAGATAAATAATGGTCGTTTATATTTCAGTAAGCTTTACTTGGTTAAGGGATATGTATATATTTGTCGTTTATATTTGAGTCTATAAACATTTACTTGGTTCGAGGATGGGTAAACATTAGTCGTTTATATTTCAGTAGGCCTTACTTGGTTCCAGGATATGTATATATTGGTTGTTTATATTTCATTCAGTAAATATTTACTTGGTCCGCGGATAGGTAAATATTGGCCTTTTATATTCGTGTCTGTAAGCATTTACTTGTTTAGATAAATAGCGGTCGTTAATATTTGGGTCTATAGCGATTTTTACTTGATTTGTGAAAAAGTCAAAAATAGTCGTTTATATTTGAGTCTGTAAGTGTCTACTTGGTTTCAGAATAGGTAAATACTAGTGATGGTTTATAGTTAAGTCTATATCTATTTATTTGCGTCAGGGGATAGGTCAGAATTGGTCGTTTGTGTATGAGTTAATAACAGTTGTTTAGAGGAAAGGAATATATTGGATGTTTTAGGGTCAGTCTACCCAGATTTTAGGTGGAAAAATGTGTGCCCACAAATCTAACACAATTTTTTAAATGCAACGCGAATAGATGATCTTCTCAGAAGAAGGAAGATCAAGCTAAACATGAGAATAACATTTATACGGTTAGATACATGTATTTACATACTAAAAATCAATGTTCTTTGTGATGACTATGAGACCAGTTAGACGAGTGTCTGAAATGAGTGAGTCTGTAAAGTTTCGAAGTGTTTTGTGGCCAGGAAAGAAATCAAGCGGTGTGTGTGTGTGTTTGTGTGTGTGTATGTGTGTTTGTATGTGTGTATGTGTGTTTGTATGTGTGTTTGTGTGTGTGTTTGTGTGTGTCTATGTGTGCGTGTGTGTATGTGTGTGTGTTTGTGTGTGTGTGTGTGTGTGTGTGTGTGTGTGTGTGTGTGAAGCATACGGCAGGCCTGATGATTTTAAGCGGCCCGCAAGAGCACAACAAACATTATTTTGTTAAATATTTATCAACGGATTTTGATATTTACAGTTGTGTCCAGATGGCCCCATTCTCAATTTATCTGGCTGATTTAAACTCTCTGATAATTATCGTTAGGTTAGTATAAGTTAATCTTGAAGGATGAAGTTAAAAGAAACAGTTACTAAGATTAGGGTTACTATAGGGTTAGATACTTACTAATCTTAGGTTAGATCAGATATTGATGGAGCAGTGTTAGTAGGCAAATACGACACTTGGTATCTACTTACCTCCCACCATGGTGATAACTCCAGTGAAAATGAATTCTCAGCCTTTTTCTGTAGAACCATATTCACTACAATATTGGAGGACCGATATTACATAACAGTCCAGTAAAAGCGAATTGGCATTGGCATAGAATCATAAAAATCCTGGAATCTTTTTTGTTTGGCAGGTTTGGGTAATCTTACTAGTAACATACAAATTTATTTTCTGTTGACATTTGTCTTAGGAACTGCTTCAAAATTGTCTCTTCCAACTAAACCAACCTAAATATTGTCTTATGATATGTGAACCAAGATTTTTTACAAATCTATAATTTACACAGAAATTTCATCTTTGATATTTGCATTATTATCACAGAGCTATGAACTCAATTTCCAGGTTTGTTAAATCAGTCTCTGCTTGATTGATCTCATCAGTAGAACATTAGCATAAACAGTGTAACATATTCGGTTCAGTCAAAGCAAAGAGAAGATTCTGGAGATCAGTAAATTGGGAAGTCTGAGACTAAAATGCCTCCCCACCCCTTCTCATATTTATAAACTTAAAATTCTCTATTTACAGTTGCGTCCAGTTGGCTCAATTCTCAATTTATCTGGCTGATTTAAACTCTATTATAATTATCGTTAGGTCAGTATAAGTTAATCCTGAAGGATAAAGTTAAAAGAAACAGTGACTAAGATTAGGATTACTGTTTTTGATACTTACTAATCTTAGCTTAGTGCATCTCAACTTAGGCGCCTTTACAAGTATAATATTTTTAATTTTCACGAGCAGAAAAAGTGAAAATGTAGAATAACGAGTTTATTACAATATACAAATTAATGCAAGCTAAAGAAAACATTCGACAACCTATCAAAAACATTTTTTCTATCCTGTAAATCTTTCTACGTCTATCTTATTTGCAAGATCATTTTCTGTTGACAAAATAGCCAAAGAGTTTAACCTGTCTTGAGTCATGGACGACCGCAAGTATGTTTTTATAAGCTTTAGTTTTGGAAGATCTCAAACACATGACATGACAGCATGATGGCGCCCTCGATCTTGATGGCGCTCTTGGCCGCCTTAATGGCGCTCTTATCTGCTTTGATGGCGTCCAGGGTGACTGCCTGATTTGCTAGTACCTTGAGCTGGTCCTGCTCAAAGTCAGATGTTGTTAGGGCGGTGTGAGTAGAAAGGTTGTATGGACCCAGTTCTCCAAGTCGGTGAGGGTTTGCTTTAATTTGAAAATAATCATTAGCGTTGCGGCCATAAACAGTAAAAGCTTGATGCATAAACATTAAATATGTTTATATTAATTAATCCGCGGCAAAGTATTCACTTACGTATTTGAGAATTTCGTACAATTGAACTTAAGAAATATATATTGAAATAGTTGGATGTCTGTACCTTATCTATTTAAATCTACTTAAAGTGTGTAAATTGCTCTCTCGAGTAGTTTATAACACATTATTTATCATCTCTGTCTTCTGGCAGAGTGCGCTCAGGGACGGTTCCGTCAAAGGACAGAGTCGCAACTGAGGAAGATTATACTGAGATGTGCCCAGACCCGGGGAACAATTGCACCAGAGAGAAGGATCGGCGCTCGTACCGGGGCCAGTGCAACCGACAGTTGCGGGGCTCGGGCAATTTTTGGTCCTAGGCCAGGTGTACGCGATCGGGCTCACCACATTAAACCGACCTTATGTCACAACCTGACCTCGTAAGGGGAGGAGGTGGAGTAAATACAAAATCTACTTAAACGGACTCCTAATATTCCCATACAGTCACCCATCTTGGTACTGACCAGGCGCGACATTGCTTAACTTCGGTGATCGTACGGGAACTGGTGTGGTTGTAAGCCCCATTTACGTGATTATCTGTTATTAATGTGTACGTGTGATGCACCATGTGATTCGGTCAACATAAAGAAACGCGACTCACCCGTGGACCAAATCTCCCGACTGTACGTCTTGTCACTATGGCAACCTGTGGTTGAGAGAGAGAGAGAGAGAGAGAGAGAGAGAGAGAGAGAGAGAGAGAGAGAGAGAGAGAGAAACAAAGAGACAGAGAAGTGGATATTGAGGCTAACGGCCATATTACGTTGAAACACCGGTTATCGTACGATCACCGAAGTTAAGCAACGTTGGGCCTGGTCAGTACCTGGATGGGAACACCAGGTACTGTAAGCTTGGATGTACGGGTGGTGTAATAGATTGGAATTGGAAGTCGAATTACTTATATTTACTTACGCACAAATACCCTCGTTAAAGGTAAGAATGCATCTCTTCACCTCCAGCAATGGGTTAAATAGTATTAATTGTATCAGTAAATCATTATTATCTCCCCAGAATTCTTAAAATCTAAAAATATTTTCTGGCTTTAAATAACCTGCAAAGCGTTTATAGGCTGTAAAAAATCAAATCAGTCGATCGATTTATACTGTTTTATATACCACCACATAGCGAGCGTTAAGAAAAGAACCTCCTCTTCCCTGGTAATGCCCCACAAGAATGTTACGTGTTGCAATGAATCTATCCTGGAAATAGCTTACGGTCAAATCACGCTGAAACACCGGTTCTCGTTCGATCACCGAAGTTAAGCATCGTAGAGCCAGGTCAGTACTTAGATGGGGGACCGCTTGGGAACACCTGGTACTGTAAGCCCCCAAAAGTCCAACCCTTACCTCACAGTCGGTGGGGGGTGTAAACGGTAGTGTCAGAGCTATGCCGCCCGGAACTTTCGTTCCTGGTAGGGCCACCCAAGGCGGACAGGTCTGACACACACGCCGGCTAACAAGGGCTCTGGTGAAAATCCAAGGAGCGTCTGCATCGGTAACCGGCGGCTTCTGGTCGTTCCTGTCTCTGCGTCTGTGGGAACCCCGCGGCAAGCAAGAACGTTATCCGAGTAGGCCTGAGTACCCTACTTCTGTAATTTATTCCAAGAATCTTCTTCTCATAACAGGAAGAAGCCGGCTCAATCCGCCCAGGGTGAATGCCGCATCAGTACAGTACAGTATCCTGGAAATAGTACCCTATAAAAAGAGCAGCTCTAGATCCATGTACTTCCGTATCACGACTCATTCGGTAAAGAAGAAGTAGTCTATAGTCCTTGGTTTCGCCAGTTCTAATCTTCATGGCTAGGCCCCGCCATGCCATTTACATTGTAACAAACCACCCACATTCCCTCCGTATTCCATCGGTGAGAATTAAGTACCACTGGAACAGCTTCTTTACGCGAACCACTGCTCTGTGGAACCAACTCCCAAGAGGGTTAACCTTACTGAAAAAGAAAGAAAAAAAAAAGAAAGAAAGAATTAAATACGCTTTGTTATCATCATTGGAATGTTGATTGTACAAATCCTTATGACTTTCTCTCCACTTTTAACGATTATCCATCTTGCAGGTCATCAGGTTGGCATACGGTGTCTTCACATATTTGCATGATTTGTTTTGAACGGGTGACCAATGCTAGTGTGGTTATGTTTTGGTGTCCATGACAGAACGTCTCTGACGAGCTTATGCTGACTTCTCCAAGAACGATAGATAAAAGTAGATTTGTGGGGGCCACTCGGAGTAGAGGGTTACAGAGTAAGAGTTAGTTTATACGAATAAGAAGAAAGATAACCCTAGATTTGAACAAGTTAAGATTGTAGTAATCCGGGAAACACCCACTTGGGAGTTGGTTCCACAGAGCAGCGGTTCGTGGGAAGAAGCCGTTCGAGTGGAAATTCTCACCGATGGAATACGGAGGAAATGTGGGTGGTTTGCTACGATGTAAGTGGCATGGCGGGGCCTAGCTGTGAAGATTGGAACTGGCGGAACCAAGGACTATAGTTCGCCCGAGCACTTTCCATGGAAGTAACGATAGAGCAGTGAGAGGAGTGTCACATCCCACCTGTGAGAGAGAGGTTGGAGGGGGGGGGGATAATTCTTCTTCAACAAGGACTGGGAGATACTCTTAAACTCTATCAAGATTGGAAAGTGAGGACTGGGCAGCTTCCGCCTCAATATGGCAGCAGTAATCCATTTTTCGGCCTGATCTGGCTCATGTAAAGGTAGATGATAGCATGAGGAGTCAGGTACTTACTGAAGCGGTACAGGGAGCCGAACATTTTACCAGCATATTTAGTGATGGGTCGTATGTACGAGTTCCACTTGAGGTCAGGTGTGAGTTTAAGGCAAAATAGTCTTTCAAGAAACAGTGCCTCGCTGAGGGGACATCCGTTCATCGTGACTGGCGGTAATTTTTTTTTTCATTTGTAACTCTTTAAAAATTATATAGTACACCTGCAAAGATATACTTGATTTCTTTTTTTATTCCAGAGAAGGTAAAAGATTGCCAGCACAAACTGTAAAGGGGGTGGGTGTATTATCACCGTACATGATATTACAGATCTCATTATAGTCACAGTAAAAAGAACAATGGTTCTATTATAACCGTCCGGTGATTATTATTTTTTTTTTTTCGGTATTTTCACCGAGAATCTAAAATAGTTTATGATTACTTATCAGTTACCGTCAAGATGTGTGTTGTGGTGTAATAGATAATAGCTCTGAATGTGAAGTTGGAGGGCGGAGCTCGAATTCCAGTCGGGTTCATTATATTCACTTACAAGCAAATGCACTTGGGAGAGGTATGAATCCATCTCTTCTCGCGCCAGTTATGAGTTGAATAGCAGAAAAGAATGGTTTCTGAAGACTTTGCTGTCAACCAGCCTACTGCCTAGTGCAGAAAGAAATAGAAAGTTACTGCGGGAAAATGTTCTGTCTAGTCAGTCATGGATCGTAAGTCATGTTGTCTTGGGTGGTAGAAGAATGATACTTCTGGAATTTATTTCACAGCAGTAGAAGGAGGATTGGAGAGGGACAGTTTACAGAACACGTCCGCATTAGTTACATAATGGTAACTAATTTACTGTCTGTATGAGTGATAAACAAATCTCCCGAAATTCTTTACCCTATGCTTCCCTTCATTACCCTCTTACCACCTCCCTCTAACTACTACCTGGGGTAAAATAAGCTCCCGAAATTTTTCTCTCTATACTTTCCCTTCATTATCCTCTTACCACCACCCTCTAATTACTACCAACGATAAACCAAACTCTTGAAATTCTTCTACCTATACTTTCCCTTCATTAATGTCTTACCACCTCCCTCTAACTACTACCAGTGATAAATCAAGCTCCCGAAATTCTTCTCCCGATACATTCCCTTCATTATCGTCTTACCACCTCGCTCTAACTACTACCTGTCATAAACAAAGCTCACAAAATTCTTCTCTCTATACTTTCCCTTCATTATCCTCTTACCACCTCCCTCTAATTACTACCAGTGATAAACAAAGCTCCCGAAATTCTTCTCTCTATGCTTTCCCTTCATTACCCTCTTACCACTTCCCTCTAACAGCGATAAAACAAAGCTCCTGATATCCATCTCTCCAATCACCTTCACTCACCTCAAAAGACAGCCTCTGTCCGTACGTTGATAATAACATGGCCTCTAATCCTCTGAGCGGGGATAATAGTCACTCCCAAGTTTAAAATGTATTCGTAAAAGTAACTTTTTTGGAGTTACGACTTTTTTGGAGTTTGGAGTTACGAGTTTTTATAAATAAGTAACCTTATTATTTATCTACGCCTTTTAATTGACCTCAGATGCCAGCCGGTGGACATCTTCGTTGACCCCTGTCATATAAACAGACTGAGAGAGAATAACTCTTCTGCGGAAGCATTCAAGAATTAGGCATTTATAGTTATTCCAGAATTTAGAAAAATACAATTATTTTGTGAAAATTTTTACGAAATTGTTCAGTTCGTTTTTTATCCGAGCAATTTGGTTGGTTTGGTTTGTTTTTCGACATATCAACTTTTTTTCCAAGTTATTTAATGCGGAATTCTGTTGTGCAATAGATAGATAGATAGACATGGTTTTGGTTTGCACGAGAGTCAAAAAGTCACACCCAGGTTTGTATCTGAGCAATGTCTTTTAAACATTAGATTTGATGTGGACAAAAAATGAGCGAACGTTATAACTGTCAAACCTTACAAACTACAATTTTTTTTAAGTTGGAATGATATGAATTTTCGTAGTTTTGAATTGAATTTATGTGAATATACGCAGTTTTTTTTAGTTGTAGTAATGTGAATTTCCGTAAAGTTTTGAGTTGAAATAAATGTGAATTTCCGTAAAGTTTTGAGTTGAAATAAATGTGAATTTACGTAAAGTTTTGAGTTGAAAAAATGTGAATTTACATGAGCTGAAATAATGTGAATTTACGTAAAGCTTTGAACTGAAATAATGTGAATTTACGCAGTTTCTTTAATTGTAATAATGAGAATTTCGGTAAAGTTTCGAGTTGAAATAATGTGAATTTACATAAAGTTTTGAGTTAAAATAGTGTGAATTTAAGTACAAATAAACTATCAGATTCGAAGATTCTTAGGAAAATCAAATTATACTTTTCAGAAAATGAGTAAGGAATTGAAAGCTCGAAAAATAACATTAGCGAAGAAGATAAGGGTGTCGGACTACTATGCAATATTTTCCCTTCTATATAGTAATGTAAACTGTAAATCTTTTGTCACAACCGACATTTTAAAACCAAATTTTGAGGCAGGACATACGACGAACAAGAAAGGTCTGAAGAGAATAGTAACTATAAAGAAACAGTTGCTAACAATCAGAATGCAGCAGAATTTGTTGTGAAACACAATGAGGAAAAACGGCTTGGAGAATTTAACACACACACACGACATATTGGTGGCAAAGAAGCAGACTAAAAGTGTGAGTAACCGGCTTGAAAGCTTCTATAAATGGATGGCGGGAAAATACGGCAGAGAGAAAGGGAAAGTAAAAAGTATTGCTGAGATTAACGAAATACGTGGAGAGACATTTTCGCCCATGTCGGAAAAAGGGCTCAGTATACCGAAAGAAAGACAACAGCAATGTATTCCAAGAAACAATTAACTTTAGGAAAAAAAAATGATGATATAATGGTGGCTCTGACATATGTTCTTGAATTCGTAATTCCGGGGAAAAAATGGAACAACAGATGCCTTAAATTTGGTGTTGCATGTGTATTTATATTTAAAACTGTCGCTGTACCAGTGTTAGAAAGATTCCTTCAGATTATAATACGGTTAATTGAAGTCTAAATCCATTTCCGTTAATCCACCTTATAGTTTTC